CGTTTTATGGATATTTCTGCCAAGTAGTGACTAATAACTGGAACCAGTCGAGGTGGTTTGAGGTGGAGTAAGGCACTTGGTCAGAATTCCAGCAATTCCGCCATAGAGGCCTTCTCGTTCAGACTGGCCTGAAAGTTTGATCTCATTTCATCATCTCGTTCGTATCCCAACCAGACACGAGATCGGGTCTTGTGCGCCAAACTTCGCGATCCAAACTAAGTGGGACTTTTGGTTGCACTCACAATCTGGGGCACTACTTTATTCTGAATGAGTAGTTGTTGAGATTACAATAAATCTAAAATTACAACTGGAACTGTCCAAGTTCGAGACTAAAGCGAGATCAAAGCTGCAGCACAACCGAAGCAAAGGCTCAAATTGTATCGTGAATTCTGGTCACACAAATGCGAAAAATTCGAGTAGTAGCCGCTTTTTATAGCATTTATGCGTCAGCTGTCCTTCCATTTTTCGGGTGTCCCATCATTCAGTACCAATTTTTCATAATAAATAGGCTTGCGTTCGGCTCTTCCAGTCGACGATGATAGCATGTGATTGCATGCCCAGTTGTCACCCGCCCTCGCATACCATGTATGCTGACTTTGCCCTAATTTATTGTGAAAGATGCAGTCGACGCGTCGGTAGGTGTCTGGGGGCGGAGCGAAGCCAGAATCCATTGTCTGGACGACACACACACACACACACCCCATCTTCACAACTACTTTTGGGGCAAAACGGGACAGTTTTTGCATTGAATTTTGAGAGTATGTGTACATGTGCATCAAACCGTGTGTGAATGTGTGTGGGTGTGTGTGTGTACACCATACATAAAGCTGGCATGCTGACCGGAATATGAAACCTAATTGCTAGTTTTGTGGATTGGTATGGTCGATTCTCAGTACCCTATTTCTGACTCGTCCTCACCACGACTTCATCGCCAATCAAGAACAGCCCAAATTAAGGCTTGTTGGTGCATAAACCGAATGTGAATTTTCGTCAGGGCCAAAGATAAACCATTTCTTGTTTGATGGCTCAATTAGTAATGAATGAGTTGACGCCATTTTTTCTTACTTTAATTGTTGGTGTGCGATGAAAAGGGTGGACAAGTAATGCCACAAGAAGACGACGCTTGGACCGTTGTTTATTAGACGCTGTGCTTGAAAAGATCTTTTTCGACGCGGATCAAGACGAGACTGCTTCAGGCACATGTTCACTCAAAATGAAAGTGGGCCCAACCATTGTTACGTCCCACATGACGCCGAAAGAGTGTCAACTGTGCACTTTATCCTCCACGCCCCCTCCTCTCCGCCTGCATTCCACACACCCACACTGTAGATATCTCCGCGATGCAGTATTGTGTGTGTGTGTGTCCTATTGCACAACAACGAGGCCTCATCGACACGATTTTAAGCCCGTCTTGATGGAAGGTCACTCGGGTGCAGAGAGAACCAACGGATTGGTCGTCTTGTCGGGTCATTGAAGACTCCTGAGTTCGAGTCCTGTCGCGCAAGCGGCTGAGCCGTCGGAAGGTGAGCAGTCGCCGAGGTCCACGTCGAAATGTGGTCATCTCTTGTGTGTGATCGTGAAACGAACCGGTACATCACCTGCTCCGCGGCGTCGCCAAGCAACGTGTTTTTTGCTGGTGATTTCGATGTTTCTGGCCGACTGTAGACAGTCGGCAAAGAGACGGGCTGACGTGAAAAAAGTAGCGCCGACAACCGGACGGGAGGGTTAAAAGACGGCAAAAGGACAAAGAACCAGCCCAAATGAGGGTCAGGCCAGCGACGGGAGGTGAAGGAGAGGGCTTAGCGATTGGGGTGGGGCGTGGGGATAGAGCAACTGGGCGACCTTTTGTGCTGGTTCGGGGGGGAGGGGGAGGCCAGAGACAAGCTGACGAGGGGGTTGTGCTCGGGCCGCTCCGTTTGGACAGTCGGCCAGAGCTGGTCTGGCCGCCTGCCAACCGGACGGCTCACTTTTGGGCTCATGTTGGCCC